TTTTGACCATTATTATTGAAATTCCCATTCCCGTTCCAGACAGACGCAGAGACGCGTGAGGGGTTACAAAACATTGATGTTTCTTCAAAAATGGTGCAGAGGCAGTTTTTTCTCTGAGCCATTTCAGCTATTTTTTTCTTTTCTTGAGCACTGACAAGATATAAAAATGTAACATGTTATGAATATGTAAAGAAATTTTTGATTATTGCACCAGGTGTGGAATAGTTTTATTCAATTCAATTAATTAATTTTATTTATTTCCAATGTCATTGATATTTATTGCATAACATGTTTAGGCATTCACAATTCTTACATTGATCATGATTATCGTCTTATCTTCTACCCAAAAATGGCCTCTATTTCAACTCTTTGTAACTTCAATGATATGATATCTATCACAGAGAATTTACGTCTTCAATTAATTTTTTTTACAATCGTCTTCTTTATTATAGACATTTTTAATTTTCATATGATGAAAGTGCATGGAGGAAATCCTTACTCTACAGCAAGCAAATTTTAACCATAAGTCTGTTCTAACCCTCAGCTAGCTTCAATTGCTCACGAGAATACTCTGTCCCAACGAGACTATGAGAATCTCACGATTGGCAGCTCTTGTTGCCTCCTCAAGAGAAAGAGAATCTCAATCCCCAGTGCACTATCTCGACCCTATGTCGCTGCTTCCCCCTTCATTACCCTTTTCCCTTCTTGGGCCAGTGAGGACTCGCAGCTTCTACGAAAAATGAGAGACTGAACACTGACTTGACTGTCTTTACTCAACAGTGTTTGAACCTATCAAACTGATCTTATACTAGTATGAATGAAACATATATTCAGACATGTTTAAAGGACAAATTTTGCACTTCACTCAGGACAAGCCAACAGGATTTGGATTAGTGTTAGAGCAGAGCATTTCCCAGGAATCTATGAGTACAAGATTGGCTAAACAATCCAATTGGCATGTAGGTAAAGAGAACATTTTAACAAATAAAAAAATCCAGTTCATGCTATTGGAATTTATCAATTCATTACCTCTAATATGGCTCGCTGTTCCGGAGTGACCCTTTGCAATGCAACCACAACTAGCCATGAACATTTTCCATCCTGTATATCAGTTCCAATTTTCCCAGTGATTTCTGGATCTCCAAAGCAATCCAAGAAGTCATCCTAGACAGAAAGATGTATCATAGAACTAACAATATTATTTATTTTCCTGCTTTCAAAAATTTCACATTGCCAAGAGCTGATGAAAGTCTATGCACTCCATGTCAAAGCTGCCACCTTTGTAAGTGCTTTTTATTTATATTTACAGCAAAAGAGAGGATAGCATGGCTTTATATTGTTGGTTACAGTTTAATGGATATTTTCAAATGAAACGAAGTTTCTTTCAGGCATGCTTGACATCACAAAGGGTACTGTAGGCAGCGACGGCGTGAACAGCTAACAGAGCAAAATAGCAGTTGCTAAGAAACCAAATTACACATTAATAAAAAATTCTATTTTTATTTGTGAACTAGAAGTTTAATATCAAAAGTAGCTTTCAATTTTAATTGCTGATACATAGACAGTTTAGTCTTGAGAAAACAAAAATATAATTGTAGCATCCGACATCAAAAATATAAATAGACAAAAATTTTGATAATTACAACAAAAATGAAAGCCTATTGTTACTCATTTTTTAGCTTAAAAACAATACTAGACAGATTGAGAGGACACGATATTCCTCTTCTCCAGAAAAAACTTTTTGAAGATATCAAACCTTTGAGCGTTACAGAGATTAAAAAATATGTTAGCATTTTCCTTAAATTCCCTACAGCAGTAGGCCTAATTGCGCTGGGAGTGGAAGGTTTAAACAGCAATTTAAAATGGAACTTTTTTCTAACCTGTACTTGGAAAAAGTGTCCCATCTCCAATAATATAGTTTTTGCTTGACGATGCATTTCTTCATCTTGAAAACCAGCCTGATAAAAAACAACATTAATAATTTACTGAAGGTTAAAAGTGATACTTATTATACACCAACAGTAATTTTACTCACCATGTGCATAGCCAATGCTACAGGTAAATAGAAGGAATAATAAGCAGTCTTATATTTCACAATTGCTGTGTATCTTGTCATCGTGAAATTATCCAAATTAGGTTTACGACCAAATTCTGAGGACAAAAGATCCAAATACTGGCCTAAGGTAGTTTTGAAGGTAACCTAGAAAATAAATTCAAAATGACAACAAATATCCGAAATCTTGCAATAATTATAATCTAGCAATAGTATTCTCTCAAAGTATTGATAATCAATCTTTAGAATCTATCACACATTTGAAGATGTAGGTGTAATTTTTTTTTAAAAACTAAAATTTAATTTTCATATTGATCACATAACAAATAAGGCTTTACACATGCTGGGATTCGTAAAATGTAATACGACATACTTATCTAATCCCAAATTATTTAAAATTCTATATTTCCCACTTATTAGACCAATTTTGCTACATGCTTTTCCTGTTTGGTCTCGTTTTTATCCTATACACATAGATAAAATTGAATCAAATCAATGCAATTTTTTTACTTTTGTATCTTGGAAACAAACTCGCATCACCCAGAAAATCTAATGACTATTCGCAAATAGCTGAAATTTTGAAGATTTTTCCTTTGTCATATTATTGAAACCTTAAGAACATATTGTTTTTATACAATTTTTTACATAATAATGTTGACTGTCCATATTTACTATCTATTGTTCAATGGAAAACCCCTACACAGAATTTTATGTCTACTAATGTTCTATTTTACACCGCAACAGTGACAATCAATGTTTGGCATAATGCTCCACTTTGGTCTATGTCTAGACTAGTAAATTAAACTAATGTTGATTTAAATATGGCTAGTTGAAACGAATTGATTAATTTGTGAAAACAAATGTTATTACAATATGCAATCTACGAGCAAGTGTAAAAAATATTATATATATTGAAATACCGTAAATTCGTCGATTGCCTGTTATATAAAATAAAATTAAAATTCAATAAGTACTAATGTACGAAAGTCTGATGTGAATGAACACTATCTCAATGGCAATTAACAATGGAATTACCATAAATCATGGCCAAATCTCAAACATCCAAAAAAATTGTAGCATCTGGTCTTATAACTTTATACTCTGATAAACAATAAATAACTGTGTCACTGAATGATATTTATTTTACTTAAGGAAAATTCAACCACTTCCAAGTTAGCAGAAGAATAATTAGAAAAATGGCAGAAAAGAAAATCAACTCCAAAGCAAGTAAAGTACAGTAAATAATTTCTTTAAAAATTACCTAGATAATTATGAACAAGTAGTGAATATATAAACAATCTTAGCAATTAATATTTGTGAACCAGTTTATTTATAACAACGATGTACATAAATCACATCATTATTAACCCTTCACTAAATAGTACAATTCTGGTGTAACACAGTCCATGCATGAACTTCACAAAAGTAAGTTTAGTTTACAGTATCGGAGAATCTATGCGCTTATTTACCAACATACACAAAATACGTTGATCATAACATTCCCTCTAAGAGTGTAGAGAGCTTACATTCAGATTAGATGCAATATGATGGAAATCAAGAGTTAACCTAGGTGAGTTGATGAGCAACAAAATTAAAAAATTTATGCTGAACAGTTTGAAGTTTAGAGATGTCGGTTTGGTAAGGAGACCAAATCTACAATGCCTATAGATTGAAAGGTCTCAGCAAAAGATTTATGATTTGAAGTGTTTGCACATTAGTGAAGTCTAACAATGTGTCTCTTACAAAGCCCAGCATCCAATTAGCTTTATTAATAATATAATCAATATATAGATGAAATCTTTACTGCCTAAAATCACCCCCAAACCCCTAAAGTGTTTTCAAAGAAGTATCACCTATTTTGTAATCAAATGTTATTTTATCAGTGGACTTAGTAAATGACATTGACTTTACATTTATTTTTATTTAGTTAAGTCTTCAGAAGGCACTACAGGAAAAATTTATTTAATTCAGTTTGAAGATCAAAGCAATATTAGAGTGAGTTAATGATTTTATATATATATATATA